TAAATGATACAGTAATTATTAAACAATAAAAGAATACACGCGGTTTCACATACTCACAACTGCAAGCCTACTTTGCCCACCCTGTATATGTGTATATATATAAAAGCCTAAGCGACTGACCATTGGACCGGTAGCTATGATGTGCACTGACCACCAGGGGGCAGAAGCTCAATGCGTAGGCATGGAAACATGGAACAGACTGATGAATCTCAGAAGGAAGTGGGGAAGGGGAAGGCAGGAAGAGATTAACCAAAGATCTTATATGCACAGATTCAGCCTGGCCTGCAGGGATCGGGCCAAAACTGGCAGTCTGACATCCCCCAAGGGATTCTGGATTGCAAGAGGGTGTAGGCCAGGCTGAGTGACCCCACCAGTGCACGAATCCATGCAGTGGGCCTCTAGTGTAGAAATAAAATTTTCCATAATCCCATACCTGAGATAACTTTAAGTAAGTTATAACTGCTGTTACGTGTGGGTACATTTCTAGGTAATTGAGATATTAACCCACCTATAATTTTCCATCTTTCTTTTTCACCTGACATTGGAAACATGCATTTTCTCTCTGTGCACTGTTTTTGGATAAACTCAGGTGGCTTCAGTTACCAAGGTAGGCACAAGAGAACTCGCTGGAACAGTGTGTGCAGGCCGAGTTCTCTCCTGAGTCTCATGGGAGGTAACCACCAACACCCGCTATCTGTCCATCTGTACTCAACCCACCCAACTGCCCACGTCAAACAAGCCTGGGAATTGTCCTTGGCTCCTCCCTCCCGTTCAGCCACTCCCACAGTCTCCGCATTCAGAATTCTAGCTCAGTAACAACTCTTGCTTGTGTCTTCTCTCAGCCTCCAAAGAGAGGCCTTGTTGCTTCCTCCTGGAATACTACAGCCACCTTCTAATCAATCACCTCCTATGTCTTCTTGCCTTCATTAACCTGCTCATTTCCACGGGGCAGTTTAGTCATCTTCCTTAAAAATACAAGTCTGTATTTGTCACTTGCCTGCAGAACATCTGTCAAAGGCTTCAGAGTGAGTTTAGGATCAAGTCCAAGTGCTTACCCAGCTTCCATGATCTGCCTTCTCATTCGCTCTCTACTCTAACCTCCGAGGCCTCTTTCTACCAGCCCCTTCCTCAACGCCTCCCCCACAGAGTGCTCCTTCCAGTGCACCACGCAGAGCTCCCCTTGCTCTTATACTACAGGTGGGCTGCCTGTCTTTCAGGACTCAGCCCAGAATCACCTATTCCTGAGGACAATTCTTTAACCTTCTCAAACCGGGCAGCCTGGGTGGAGCACCCCCCTTTGGGCTCCTTCAGCAACTCGATCCCTTAATGCCTGCATCACCATCACCTGGAGTGTTATTGTCTAGATCTGTCTATCTCCGTCCTCCCTTTAATTATCAACTCCCTCGGGGTGCAGGGACAGGAAATACTGTTTGTACTCCAAGTGCCTCCTGAAATTCCTACTTTTGAAAAATACTTCATAAATGTTTGTTGAATAAACAAATGAGCAAAGGAGTTATTTGAAAGAAAAAGCCTTTATGGTCGTTTTAAAGATGGCATTCAATTCTATTATATCCAAAAATTTACTCAG